AAATGATTAAACTCAATTATCTCAAAATTGTTTATATTGCAAAATGGGCCCTTTTAATATGAAAGACCCCATATAATCTAGAATCAACTATATAACTATAAAACTTACAGAAGAACCTCACACATTTTCATTAACCTCCTACTTTACTTTAATAAAATTTTTATTAAAAAATAGACGATTTAGTTTACTTGCTCCAAAAGATCAATATTGTAATTATCAAAATAGTCAGTATTGTTTATTTTTTTTCTGTTACAAAAAACATGTAGTTTTATTATGGGTAATGAGTTATGTGTCTTGAATATAACACTTTGAACAAACAATGCTCCAAGAGTTCAAGTGCAGATTTTTATTTTCTGATCTCTCTATGGTGCTAATGTCACAGTGAAAACCAGTATTTGGGTAATTAGTGTGTAAGATAGTTTCGAATTGATCAATTATCACGTGATCATGTGACAATTGACCAGAATTGGAATTAGTTATTAATCATTCAAGGGAACAATACGCAGGATTAATATGCAGTGCATGAATAATGTTGTAATAGAGTTTATAGACAATGGCGTGATTAGTAATAAATAATTAAAAAGTCAAAATGGCGTGATCAATAATTATGTAATTAGCAATAGTTAAAATTTGTATTTAAAGATACAAGCAAAATAAAGTTAATAAATAATTTTAGTATCTGCAAAAATAAAAGTTATTAAAAAGTAAATAAGCAAAATACTTACCCAAGTCGAAGCAGCAAAGTACCGAGATTGTTGACAGTTGAAGAAGTGCTTACTTTGAGCTAGGTTATTAGTAACTAAAGAGTTCTATTAACTCGAGACATGAGAACCTGGGCATTCTAATCAGTGATTTCGCTAAAAGTATTGGAATTTCTGTTGAATCAGCAAAGAAAAAAATGTAAAATTCAAATGAGTGAAAGACTTTTAGTAGTCAAGTGCCAATATAGTAACACTATCCGAATCCGGACCTTGTTAAAAAAAAAAAAATTTTTTTTAAGTAGAATAAGTAAAGAACATTGATGCATATTTCAAAGAATGAAAACTATTTTATGAAGGTGGAGATGCAATAGCGATGGTGAACTTTCTTTGGGAGTATGAGGCCTATGCCGAAAATAGAGGATAGAATGATAACGTGAAATCAGCGTATGTGGTATTATATGTTGCAAAAAGTGAGATATTATGGGTTAAACAAATATATAGAAGCACAAAGGTATGAATCGAATTACAGCAAAGATTATTTGATATAGCAAGTTATATTGATATGACGAATGATCGGATAGGATATGAGAATTGCAGATTGAAAGGCATTGAGCAAGTTGATGATAATGAAATAAATGAAAGAGTGACGAATATAATTAGTGAAACAAATGATGGAATAAAACAGACAAAAGAAATAAAGATTAAAAACGTATCTGACTCAAATGAGTGTAAAGAATTTATTAATCACCAAAAATCTACGGAGATGAAAGACTTCGCTGAAACATATAGCATTAGACAATGTTACCAAAATAGAATAGTTGTTGAAAAAAATAAACGAAAGTCTGAGATACCTGTTAGCAACCTATTTGAATGGTATTTGGATATTGATGAAGATGAGATGATAAAGAAGGAAGCAAATAGTAATAAACGAGAGATAGATAATACAGAAGAACAGATAATCAAAAAAACGAGTAGTGAAGTGGAAATAGATGAAATTAAAAGAAAGAATGTAAAGGTTAGTTCGATAAATGATGATGAAAGGGGTGATAAGAAATCTGAAGACTCACCTGAACAAAATTATGAAGCAAACGATCTCGAAAATTGCTATGGAAATAGAATAGGTGATTCTAGATCTGGTGAAAAATGTAAAATGACTGCAAAAGTGGGGAATGTATTGATGGATCTTTTGAATCAGGTGCACGTGTTAATTAGAATGTTAAAAGATGAGGACTATGCTGAAGGTTTCGTAAGGTTAAATGGTTTGAGTTGTCGATGTAAAGATGCAAAAGCTGGAATGTTGAGTACCCTGAAGCTTTATGGTGACAAGGATCTTGAGAAACAAGTTGGTTAAAGTAAATAGAATGCTGTATGCTGTGGCAAAGTGAAAGATCAGAAGTGAATAAGCGATGAATGTAATGCATTGCTAATAAGATATGTATTCGATCAAGAAAAAGTGCAAATTAATGTCTGGGATGCGATAATAAAATATTTATGCTGTGGAAAATGTAACAAAAAAAAAAAATTTTTTTTGATGAAGGATCGATATTTGTCTTTAAGGAGGTTCGAATGAACTGTCATGAGCATAGAACTTACGTGATTTATATGCCGGTCAAGCAGAATTGTAGATGTGAGATCGAATTATAAGCAGTTAGTATAAATACCAAAGTAAGATAGAATTAAGCAATGGTCAATAATAAGAGTACCAAAATAAAATGAAATAAGAAATGAAATATGAGTGAAAAAAAAAACTTTGTATGCGATTAATTGAACAAATAGTATTTGTTGATACTTGGATTGGAATAGGTTATATACTTGTTGCGAATAGTAGTTAAATTAAAGAAGTGCATATTTGTGTTGGATAGATGAGATTTTGCAAGGGTAGAAACTTCAGAAACAAAGTTTAGAGAGATCTAGCTTGTATACAGTGAGAACCAGTATTTGGATAATAGTGCGTGAGGTAGTTTCGAATCAATCGATCATCACGTGATCATGTGATGATTGACCAGAATCAGAATCAGTTATCAATCATTCAAGGGGACAATGC